TCACTGCCTTGCCTGTGGCTTGGACATCCTGCCCGGGCCTGTCACGGCCATTTCTGGGCTTTTAAACCAGACATGGGACATGGGAGAGGGCTGGCAATCACTAAAAATAACCGATTATTATTCCCCCCACCCTCCACCAGTGTGAGCTTCCCCTGACATCATATTATGACGGTGCTATTTTACATCCTCAAAAGTTTATAATGATCTACATGTAACATCACTACAACAGTGAGCTGAAGCCCACGCCTTGCCCCTAGCACTCTGGCATTGCCTGGCCCTGCCAGCAGCTCCAGAAACCACAGGAAGGATGTCATGGTCAGCCCCAGCCCTCCAGGACAGCATCCTTAAAGAAACACAGCCCACTCCATGGGAACCCAAGTCACTAGTTGCTCCCAGCAGCTCATAGATCACTTCTGAAGCCAGAGCAAGTGAGGGGTGCTGCCTTCATCTGTACTTCATCCTTGCATGGCTGGATACTTCCTGGAAATTCAATTGTTTCCCAAACCTGAAAGGGAGACAAGATGCTTTGGGTTAGGCTATGCATGCTGACTCTGACTTTTCCCAGGATTGAATGGGGATGAAGGGAGGCCACCAGCCACTTCCCCTGGATCTTGGGCACTGCATCTGTGTCTTGCCTCCCAGGAGCTGCATTTACACCCCAGCCTCTGGAGCTCTGGAGGGAGGGGTCCCTTTGCCCTTTGTAGAAGTTCCACCTCTCTGAGCTGAGACTGATGCCTGTTTTCCTACTCCACGGTTTTCTTTCTTTCTTTTTTTTTTTTTTTTTTTTTTTGAGATGGAGTCTCCATCTGTTGCCCAGGCTGGAGTGCAGTGGCACAATCTCGGCTCATTGCAACTTCCACCTCCTGGGTTCAAGTGATTCTCCTGCGTCAGCCTCCCAAGTATCTGGAATTACAGGCACCTGCCACCATGCCTGGCTAATTTTTGTATTTTTAGTAGGGATGGGGTTTCACCATGTTGGCCAGGCTGGTCTCAAACTCCTGAGCTCAAGCGATCCAACCACCTTGGCTTCCCAAAGTGCTGGGATTACACCACCATACCCAGCCAACCCCACATCCTACCTATTCCTCGGAGAGATTTTCTCCTTGCTTTTTGCTCCGGATATTAATTATACTTCAGGATGGCTCCTCCTGACCACATGGCCCCCATCCTGTCACCTCCTATGGCTGGGCATAAAGAAGGTGTTCTGGATTGAGAACCAGGGCCCATGCGTTTTAGCCAGGACAGTCCCCAAATCACGGTGTGACTTTGGACAAGTCACGTCAGTTCTCTGGGCCTCACGTTTCTCCTTGCTAGAGCAGATGGGATACCTAGAAAAAGCAAGGTGGCTTCTTGATTCGCAAAGTTCTGCCCATGGACGAGCAGTGCTGGTATTTCTTTTTTTTTTTTTTTTAGGTAAAACTTCTGTTGTGGCTCTTTATTTTTTTTTATTTTTATTTTTTTTCTGTTTTTATTTTATTTTATTTTATTTTTTTTCCCATTTATTTTATTGCATTTTAGGTTTGGGGGTACATGTGAAGAACATGCAGAATTGTTGCATAGGAACACACATATGAAAAAATGCTCATCATCACTGGTCATCAGAGAAATGCAAATCAAAACTACATTGAGATACCATCTCACGCCAGTTAGAATGGCGACCATTAAAAAATCTGGAGACAACAGATGCTGGAGAGGATGTGGAGAAATAGGAACACTTTTACACTGTTGGTGGGAGTGTAAATTAGTTGAACCATTGTGGAAGACAGTGTGGCGATTCCTCAAGGACCTAGAAATAGAAATTCCATTTGGCCCAGCAATCCCATTACTGGGTGTATATCCAAAGGATTATAAATCGTTCTACTATAAGGACACGTGCACACGAATGTTCATTGCAGCACTGTTTACAATAGCAAAGACCTGGAAGCAACCCAAATGCCCATCGACAATAGACTGGATAGGGAAAATGTGGCACATAGACACCAGTGCTGGTATTTCTAGGAAGCTTAAGAAACGCGGAGTCTAGGGCATGCCCCGCCGTGGACTTACGGGATCAGAATCTGTATTTTGACAAACCTGTTGATTCATTAGCACGTTAAAGTATAAGAACTGGTAAGACGGATATGCAGTTATTTTGCTTAGAGCTTGGCTAATTTCATAAGAGCAAGAGAGAATTTCTGAGATTCTTCGATGAAGTAATACAATGTTTAAAAAAATTACAGTGGACAGAGAGACTGAGGGGTGAGACTGGTCAGGGAACGGGTGAGCAGGCAGCTGCAGCCATCTAGATGTGGCCACAGGAACCTGGTAGTGGGAGAAGAGTGTGGGCTTGGTTGGCTTGATATTGCGGAGGAAGATGACATCATTCTCGGTGACACACTGAATGTTGAGTTCGTGCAAAGAGATTGGAAATAATTCAAGGCTGTGAGCCCTTGGTCCTTCTGTTCTAATTCTGTATGCAAGACCTCTGGCTGGCCTTGTTTTTTTTTTAATGGAGTTTTCCTCTGTCTCCCAGGCTGCAGTGCAGTAGTGAGATCTCAGCTCACTGCTCCCTCCACCTTCCAGGTTCAAGTGAGTCTCCTGCCTCATCCTCCAGAGTAGCTGAGATTACAGGAGCTTGTCACTATGCCTGGCTAATTTTTGTATTTTCTTTTTAGTAGAGATGGAGTTTCACCATGTTGGCCAGGCTGGTCTTGAACTCCTGACCTCAAGTGATTTGCCTGCCTTGGCCTCCCTAAGTACTGGGATTACAGGCATGAGCCACGATGTCCAGCAGACCTTGCTGTTTAATTAAACAAATACGGTCCTTATTTTTAAAACATTCTGACCTGTCTAAATTGAATCTTAAAAAGGAATTAAGAAGACAAGGTACACCAGAGCCCATGATGGAGTCCAGTCACTCTGGACTCGTGATTCCCAGCTCTGCTACACAGTGGAAATCCCTGGACCCTCTCTAGAAATCCTGGTGCCCAGACCACAGCCCAGAACCATTAAGTCAGGATGGCTGGGGTGGGTCCAGGTGATTCTGATGCCTGGCCAGGTCTGAGACTTGCTGCTTTTGTCTCTCTAGTATAAGAACCCGCAGGGCAAGAGCTGGGGGCCTGTGGGCATGTGGCTGCTGACCAGCTCTGGGGTCTGAAGTTCCTGCTGCACTGCTGATGTGCAGCCTGGGCCAGGATTGTGAAAGCTGCTGGTGGTGAGGAGCACGGAGTCTCAGCCATCTCCCACCCAGGATGGTCTCTGAGCCCCTCACACACTTGCATGCAGTAATGATGGGGGTGGGTGGGGTGGGGCCTAGGAAGAAATGCTACAGAATAGGGCTGAGAGCGCGCTCTGCTCCAAGACATAGCTCCTCACACGCACAGACCTCAACACAAAAGGCACCATTTCCAGCTCATTCACTTACGGCCCCAGTTAAGTGATGAAGCTCTGTCTATACTGGGATTTTGATTACTATGGGCTCCCAGAATGGAAGGCACGGTACAGATATGCCATTAAAAAAAATCACCCCTCATGGTGTTGGGTGAGCTCTCACCACAGAGGCCACTTCCCTGCTAATAATCCCTTGGTGCCAGGGCACGGATGAGGGGCTTTAATGGATATTATCTGGGAAGGATCAAGCCTGGGCAAGGGTGGGGTTTGTACATGACAGACAGTGAGAGGGAGGCTCAGGGAGGTGACCTGTCCAACGTCATACAGAACCGAGACGGCCTTGGAATTCTGGCCGTTTCCCTCCCAGTTCGGGGGTCTTTCTCTTTCCCCGGGAGAGTTTCTGAACACAGAAGAGAGCTGGAGGGTTTCTCCTAGCGGGGCTGGAGGGGCTGGGAGAGGCAGGACCTCTTCCTAACACCTATTGGAGAAGACAGACTCATGGCTATGAGGGTCACACCAAGGTTCCTTTCCAGATGGAAATTCTTCCAAACTCAGGGATTAAGCAAGATTAAACACAAAAAGGCCCTCTAGAAAGGGGTTAACTTTATTTCTTCAGACGTAAAAACTGTCCTTCGCAGTTGGAAACGGCAGAGCTGACTCCATGGATGACTGATGCCCCTTACGGGGGTTATATACCTGTTCACACGTGCCCCTGGCAGGGATTTAAACGTTCCACGCTGTTCCACAAACCCTAAATCAAGTAGATTCATCCTGGCCCCTGGTGAAGTCTTAAGAGGTGGCGAGGCTTATGTTAAATTGCCCTCTCTGGGCTCCTGCTCCCGAGCCGACAGCCACAAATTCCCCTTAATGAGCACTCCTGAAGAAGCCAAGGCAACGCTGTGCGCTAAATTAAGATTCGAGAGCCCAGGCAGGGAGAGGGAGGTGTTTGCTTTGGCTGGGAAGGTGCCTGGGCCCCAGCCTGCGTGTTTGCCTGGGTGGCCTGATAAGTGTGCTGAATATTAAGTGCTGCATGGCGGGACCAGAACCATCTGCTCTATGTCCCGAGAGGTCACACCTGCTGGTCCTTTTGGGCCTGGTGGCAGAGGGACCCCGAGTCAACCTGTCTTTGGCTTCCTTTGTGGCCCCGTGGTCGCTGAAAAGCCAGAGTTAATATTCTTCCTTTCAGAATGAAAATGGAGCCGTGGAAGTTTCATTTGCTTTGATGAATTACTCCCAGGCTGCTGTTTGTTTGCAGAGCGAAGCTCCCCGGCTGCAGGGCGGTTAGAGGCTGCGGTCACTCTCCTCCTGTCACTGCTGGTTCCTGTTCCTGAGGCTGCGAGAACTCCTGACAGCACAGTGGGCATATCTTGGTCGTTGCAGCTTTTCAAGACAGTTTGGCCCAGTGGGGAGACAGTGGAAAACCTCGGTTACGCTGGCTCTGACATTTATCAGCTGTGTAACCTTGGGCAAGTGATTCAACCTCTGTGTGCCTCAGTTTCCTCACCTGTCACCAGGGGGATCGTAATCTTGGCTCTGTGTGCCTTGCAGGAGTGCTAAGAGCATCAAAGGAACTAAGAGAAATGAAAGCATTTATAACTAGTAATTTGCATACATATTTTAATAAAAGTGCCCTTTTATTAAAATAAACAAGTGCCCTTCAATCCAGCTCTCCGCACTGCCTGGGACGGTGTTAGCAGGAGAACGCCACTCTGACAGGGACCTGGACTTCTGCCTCTTCTGTTCGGAGAGAGTTGGATGATCGCAGCTCTCTTATATGCAGAAAAGCTTAGTGAACTGAACATAAAGATATTGCTTGCTTGCAGGTTTTTGAGGGGAGGAATGATGGTTGGTTTCTATGGATTTGTTACGGGGAAAGGGACAGCCTAGCTCCAAAGGATATCCTGCGTATCTAAGCCCTCCTCCACTTATGCCCCGGCACCGTCCCCCCTACCTTCTCAAGGAAGTTTTTCCTGCAGCTCTGCCCCCCTCTCCCACCGCAGCATCAATTTCCCTCTCTTTGTATGTTTCAGCACGTGAGCATGTCTTAACAGGACCCCTGTAGAACACACAAGGCATCCCTTGGGCTCCTGTTTCCCTTAGCTCCAGCCCCAGTTCTCTGCTCCTGTCACAGCTCAACCCCTTGGAGGAGCTGCGCCTGCTCACTGCCTCAGCTTCTTTCCCTTCCATCCTCTTCCTGGCCACTCCGTCCCCTGCCCAAATGGCGCTTGTCCAAGGCCACCCTGACATGCAAAGTGGCCAGTGGTCAGCATTCCATCCTGCCACACAGCCTCTCAGCAGCACTGGACTCTACTGGCCTGTGTCTCCTTGGAGCTTGCACTTCTCCAGCTTGTGCCTGAGGCCATACCCACTCATCTGCTGGTCCTTCTCGCGCCCTCGCAGTGCCTTCTTAGCATCTCAGATTCCTCTCTCTGTCTGAAACGGTTGGAGAGCCCCAGGGGGCTGTTCTCAGCAACTGGAACACCCCCATCTCTGCTCTTCAGAGGACTCTGCACTCCGTCCTGTGGCTCCAGACACCATCCAGACGTGACGATTTGCATATTTCTTTTTCTAGCTCAGACTTTCTGAGTTCCACTCACGCTCAGCTGTCCACTCAACACCTCCTCTTGGATGTCAGATGTCATCTGAAACTTCAAATGGGGCAGCCAGAACTCTCCAACCCTCCAGCTCCTTGCCTCTGACAGCCAGGCCGCCCTGCCTTTCTCATTTCAGTAAATGGCGCTGCCATTCTCTTAGCTGCTCAGATCAAAAGCCTGGGCGCGCCGACTCTCCTCTTCCTCTTGAGTCTCACATTCAGTCTGCTGGTGAGTCCAGGCCACTCTCACCCCTTGCTGGCACTTTCATGGCAGCCTGGTAACTGGTCTGCTCTTGGCCTTGGCACTCTACACTACATATGACAGACAAAGTGAGCTTTTTAAAGCACCAATTACATCGTACCACTCCATGGTTAAAATTCTTCAGTGCATTTTCACCGTACCCAGAATAAAATCCAAATCTCGTTTCCTTATGCATAAGGCTGGCGTGACCTGGCCTTTGTGCTCTTGCTTCCTGCCCTCCAGCCGCTCTGGCCTCCTTCCCACCCCGTGGCCAAACAAAGCTCCTTCCCCTTCAGGCTTTTTGCTTTCTGCTCTGTCTGCTAGCACTGTGCATTCCCAGAACGTGGCATGGCTGCTCTGTTCTCATGATGCAGCTGCCAGTTTAAAGTTCTCTTCTCCAGAGAGGCGTCCCCCACCTACCCAGCTAAAAGCAGTGTTCCCAGTTACTGTCTACATTACATAGTTTAGCTGTTTCATAGCACTGATTAGTTCCTCACATGACCTTACTCGTTGATGTGTTCATTGTCTGTCTCCTTCCTCTCCCCAGAATGTCAGTTTCTCACGTGCTGGGCTACGCCTTGCTCTCTGCTGCAGCCCAAGCACCGGTAGTCGTGCCTGGCCTAAGAAGGCACCCAATGCATACAGTGTTTGCTTACTGATCAGCTGTTCATTTCTGTTCAGTGCCTGATACATTTCATCAGAGTATTTGGGGTGTGGATGGGGCTCTGGAGATCACCGAATCCAGTTTTCTTGTTTAGACAAGGAAACTGAGATGAGAGAGAGTTAAGTTATCACAGCAGAGCGGGGCTGTCGCCAGCCTAAGAAAGGACCTGACAGTTTTTAGTCCTGGTGGGGGAGAGAGGACAGTGAGAGGCTGGCGGCCTAGTGAAGCGAGGACAGCAGGACCAAGGACGGCTCTCAGTGGCAGTACTCCATCCATGCATAAGCCTCTTCCTGCCCAAACAGCACACAGTTGGTGGAGAAGCTGAGTGCAGGCCCCAGAGGGCAGGCATCAGTCATTATACAGACATCCAATGTGCTGGACCATACCGCCATGGAGGGGCGCCTTTCTGGCAATGTGGAGGCAACGTTAAGCCTGCCTAATAGCCTTTGGGCTATCGGGAGGAGGCTAAGACACAACACAGGCCTGCCTGCGTAAGGGGCCCTGGGGCTTGTCCTGTGGTGTGTAGGGATGGAAGGCAGAAAGAGAAAAGGCCCATCCACAGCAGGCGGGAGACGGGCAGCTGCCAAGAGGATGGGCCGGGGTGGGGGCAGTGACGAGGCCGGGAAGGGTCTTCTTCTCTTCCTACTGTCTGACACACCGCACATACCTCCTCTGTGATTATTATGGCGTCTTCAGGTCTGGGCCTTCAAGTGGTGTTTACACTCACAGCTCTTGGGCAAGAACACACTCTAACAGGGAAGTGAGACTTTAAGCCACGGGTTCAGCAAGTTACCCAACCATCACTCAGCCCCTCCCTGTTTGTAGAAGGCTGAGCAGAGGAGACAGCTGGCTTTGGGGACAGAGAACAAAGGAGCTGAAGATCTGGAACAGAGAGAAAGAGAGCGCGCTCGAGCTCTTCCGAGAGGGGCAGGAGCGCCTGGGCCGCCCACCCCCTTGGGCCTGTCTTGGTCTTTCTGATGCTGCCCCCTGGGGCTTTCTCAAGAAGGAATCAGAGGCCGGGCACATGTGAGTGACTGGTAGCCAGTACTGTGGCTTCAGCAACATTCAGGAAACTCCCTGCTTCCTTCCACCTCACTGTGTGCTCCCCACAAGTGTTGGTGACCTGCGGCCCTGAAGGAGCCACCGAAGGAGGTGCACTTACATTTCTTCTGCAGAATGCTCTGTCTGGCCTTGATGAAGGCCAGGATGTCCGAGTCTGTCTGGCTGTCTCCGGTGAGAGGGATGGACGACACTGGCCTCTCAGGGATGCTGGGGGCAACCACACGTCACATTTTACTACACCTTACAACTGGACCCAGCTCTTACCTTTCCAAAATGCTTTCCGATTTCTGGTGACTGATCTCACCCAGAAAGCTGCATGACACAGCTGGGCTGCTTCTCACTCACTCCTGCCTTCTCTGTGTGGCAGCCACACTAAACCTCTTGTCATGCAAATTGGGTCAGGTCACTGCCTGCCATAGACCCTGATACGATGTGGCTGTGTCCTCACCCAGATCTCATCTTGAATTATAGCTCCCATAATTTCCACGTGTTGTGGGAGGGACCTGGTGGGAGGTAATTACATCGTGGAGACAGTTTCCCCCATACTGTTTCGGTGGTTGAATAAGTCTCATGAGATCTGATGGTTTCCTAAGAGGTTTCCCCTTTCACTTGGCTTTCATTCTCTCTTGCCTGCTGCCATGTAAGATGTGCCTTTCGCCATGATTGTGAGGCCTCCCCAGCCACATGAACAGCGAGTCCATTAAACCTCTTTTTCTTTATAAATTACCAGCCTTGGGTATCAGACTGGCAATTTATCAGCAGTGTGAAAACAGACTAATACAGACTCTTTAGTGGCTTTTCATCACTCATGGAATAAAGCTCAGACTCTGTCCCATGACCTACCAGGCTGTGTGTGATATGACCCCGGGTCAGTAGCTCCAGCTGCCCCCTCCTCTTTCAGTGACTTGCACTTACCAAGTCACTTCCAGCCTCAGGGCCTTTGCTCTGATGCTGCTTCTCCCTGGACTGCCGTCTCCACCAACCGTCACATGGTGGCTGCGCTTTCTCTCACTGCCTTCTCCAACCCCTCACCACCATCCCTCCTGTCCTCCCAACCCCAATTTACCCAAACCAGCCCCCCTTGACCTGGGGACCATCAACTTCTGCACCCAGCTTAGATGTCATATCCTTCACAGTCTCCTCAGAGCACCCAGCACCCCCATTCCCTATGTGGCTTAGCTACTTGCCCTCCAGGCAGAGATTACTATTCTCCTGTCTCTCCTTAAAAACGGAACCATATTTAGCTAAGTTGCCACAACTAAAAAGACTACTTTTCCCAGCCTCCTTTGCCGTGATATGTGGTCAGGTGACCAGGTGCTGGCCAATGAGATTTGTAAGTAGAAATGTTGTGTTGGAATCTCCTTAGAATGGGAGAGCTGCGTGTGCCCTCCCATCCCCTTTTTAATTCAGCTTCTTCATATAGCATTCCCCTTCAGCAAACTCAGGGCAGCACACTTGCCTGGCCTTGCCAGCCTTCCATCCATCCTCAGCCCTGTGCCTCTGCACAGCAGGAGGCAGCAGCCACTTCCTTACAAGGCAATGAGGACGGTATGTGACAAGGGACTGGACATTCCCACAGGTAGTTTTGGGTGTTGGCTTTCCAACTGCAGCCAGCTGGAAGCACTAAAGCAGAGTCCAGGCAGGCAAGGCAGTGGCTGTGCTGGTGAAGGAGGCTGAGCAGCCATTCTAGTCGGAGGATACAAGCGCCCATGTGCTGATCAACTCTGCTAAGCCTGGAAGCAAATGCTGCTGAGCCTTGAGGCCAGGCTTGTCAGCTTCATGTTCTGCTCTGTGGTAGGGCTGCCCTGGGCTGGCTCGTTCCCTTTCTGGCCACCAGGTACATCTATTCACAAGGAGATATGAAGCAACTCTGTCCACACAGGGCCCTGGTGACTGTGAGAGAAAACCTCCCAGCTTTGATGGCCTGCGTGAGAGATTCCAGGGGATTCCCAGGCGGCCAGGGCAGAGACCAGACCTGGGCTCTGTATATGTGGCTACTGGACAAGGGGCTTCTTCGGAAAGTAGACTGGAGGTGGAGGCCCACTCCGCCCACTGCAGGGGCTGTCACCGGCGTAACAGAAGGTCACAGACCTGTCTTCCAGGGGGTTGCTGGTGCTGCTCTGTTTCTGGCTGTGTGGACTACGGCAAGGCGAGGGCAGGATTTTTCTGGCATTCACATCACTGCAAAACACAAACCAACAGAAGCAAAAGGAATGAGCGCAGGTTTACAGAAGAGAAGTTCAGGGTTTATATCTAAGAGCTGTTATGGACTGAATGTGTCCTCTCAAAATCAATGCATTGACACCTGATCACCAATGTGACGGCATTGGGCAGTGGGCCTTTGGGAGGTGATTAGATTTAGATGAGGTCCTGAGGATGGGGCCCCCATACTGGGATTAGTGTCCTTATAGGTGTAAGAAGAGGATGAGAAACTATAGTCCATTCTCATTCTCTCTCTCTCTCTCTCTGTCTCTCTCTGCCACGTGAGCACACAGCAAGAAGGAGGTGCCCGCAAGCAAGGAAGGAAGCCCTCAGCAGGAACTGAATCTGCTGTGTTAAGAACTGGAGTTTTGTGTCCCTAGAAGTTCATGTGCTGAACCTAATCTCCAATGTAATGGTCGTGGTAGAGGTGGAGCCTTTGGGAGGTGATGAGGCCATGAAGTCCGAAAGCCCATGAATGGGATTACAGTCCTTATAAAAGAGACATTGGAGAGCTCCCTTGCCCCTTCCACCATGTGAGGATGCATTGAGAAGACAGCTGTCTATGAACGGGGAAGGGGGGTCCTCACCAGGCATCGAATCTGCCAGCGCCTTGACCTTGGACTTCCCAGCCTCCAGAACTGTGAAAAATAAACATTTGTCATTTGAGCCGCTCAAAATACTACAGCATTTTGTTACAGCAGACTGAGTAGGCTAAGACGAGCTAAGAATCCTGTCTTGGATGGTTTACACAGTAATTTTCATTGTTAGAGCATGCATGTGTTGGCTCCAGAAGCTGAACGACAAACAGTGGTCACAACTGTCATTGATAGACATGCCAGGCTCCATGAAAGTGTTTCTGCAAACATCATGCCAAGTAGTCCTCTCAATGACCTAAGAGGCAGATGTCATCATCTCCATCTTACAGGTGAGAAAGCTGAAGCTTAGAGAGGTTGAAGAAATTCTTAAAGTTATCCAGCTGGTAAGTAGCAGAATCTGGAGCTATTCCAGACTCTTTGATGCTTCAGAACCTGTGCTCTCAGCCACAGTGCTTTCTAACTGGGCTTGACTCTGTGGGATTCTGGGAAACACATACTGACCTACTCCTGACCACGCTGCCTGCCACTGGGTGCCATTCGTACTCCCTGAGTGAGGAGTCAGATCTGACAGCTGTGCCTGCTCACCTAGGCTGCTGACATGTGTGCCTTGCCTCAGATTCCTGGGCAAGTGCAGTGGAACCCAGGAACCTCTCTTGGGAGGTGAAGAGGCACATGGACACGGCTGGTGGGAGGCCAGGGTACTCCACATGCCCGTGGTGACAAGGTCTCTACTAAGTTGTAAGTGCTCAGAGCTGTAAGGAGATCTTCCTTGTTTCCTGCCTGGAGACAATATCAGAGCTGGAAGAGGCCTAAGAAGTCGCCTCGTTACGACCCTCTTTGTTTTTTTTTTTTTTTTTTTGAGACGGAGTTTCACTCTTGTTGCCCAGGCTGAAGTGCAATGGTGCAATCTGGGCTCACTGCAACCTCCGCTTCCCAGGTTCGAGTGATTCTCCTGCCTCAGCCTCCTGAGTAGCTGGGGTTACAGGCATGCCCCGCCACACCCAGCTAGTTTTGTATTTTTAGTACAGACAGGGTTTCTCCATGTTGGTCAAGCTAGTCTGCCCAGCTTGGCCTCCCAAAGTGCTGGAATTACAGGCATAATTCCCATGCCCGGCCTCAACCCTCCTTTTACACTCTGAGGACTCCCGGGCTGAGAGGCAGGCTAGGGTTAGAGACAGATGATCTGGCTCCACCAAGTCTGCATCTTCTGCCCAAGGCACTCCACCCACCAGACAAGCGCATGTATCACCCATGAGTATGGCCCCTTCCCCAGCTCTAGCCTCCACCTGCCCATCTCAGCCAATGGCAGGGCTTCTTCCACGGGTCATGACAGTGGTCAAACAAACAGGAAAAGACATCAGAGCCTGGGGTAGCCCCCCTCAACTCCCAATGTTCATTTCCTAGCAGTAGAGACTCTCCTCGAGGTGCCCTCCGCGATGGGAGAGCAGAGATCTCTGTGCTGGGTCTGGTGAGGACTGCTGTAGGACCAGAGGTAGCCACAAGGTGGCAGGGTCTGCACACTTTTCTTTGGAGAACAGTGACCGATTCTCAAGGCTCCTGCTGAGTGGCTCCTGGTGCAGCCTGGAGAAGGGAAGGAGAGAGGGCTTTCCATCCTGCAAGTGGTTTCCTTATAACGGGTCAAGGTCAGTTTGAAAGCTGTAGCAAGTTTGCAAGACCAAGTCACTGGCACAAAAATGGCTCATTCCTCAATGGCTTCCCAGTGGAGCCTTGGCTCAGGCTCCAGGGAGAGTTCACAGGTGCCAAGCCGTTGAAAGTTGGGAGGGGGTGAAAGAGGATGGGAGAGGTGGATGGGGCAGGGTAGAGGGGCACAATCACACCGTGACCGGTGGGGGCATCCAGTACCCTTTGTGGCGGCCCGGCTGACCCGCCTGTCCCCTCAACAGTTCATGCAGGAGGACAGTGCAATGGAAGGCTGGGGGCTCCCAAGGGAAATGACTCCTCAAATCCCTAAGCTGCTCAAGTGTCCTGTCCCTGGATGCCACAGCTTGGTTTCTGTAATTCTGGGGATGGTGCCATAAATGACCTCTGCCCTCTCCCTTTGCCCAACCAAAGGCACTCAGTCTTTGACAGAGTTCATTTCTCATGTTGATGTCCCTCTGGAGAGAGAACATGCCAGCCATCAGAATGAATTATCTTTCTTAATAAGGATTAATAAGCCATATTAATAATAATTAGGCCTCCTGGGTTGCCAGTCAGAGTGTTTAGTGCAGTCAGCTTCCAGGACCTGAGCATCCCTAGCGAAGTGATGAATCAGGTTTCTTTCAGAATGTGATGAGCAGAGGACCAGTGCCCCACCCCCCAGCTCCCCACCTGCAGCAATTCCACAAGAGTAGCCACTCAGGAGCTCAGGCAGCAACAGCCGCTGGGTCCTCGCTCTCTCACCGCAGCAGCTCTGACCCGGCACTAGAACATTTATCTGCTCACAGAGGGATGGTGTCAGAGGGACCCTTGCACATCTTACAGACGAGGCAAGAAAATCCCGAAGTGGGGAGCTGGCTTGCCCAAGGGTGTGCTGCTTGGAAGGGCCATGACTTGGATTCATGTGATTCTAATCTCAATGGAGGGAGATTTGGAGGTGGTCGATAATGATGTGACACACACCCTTGAAGTGCAAGGTTCTTGACTGCAGGGTTAAGGGTCTCTAGGCAAGCGCATTCAGGGATCATCTTAAGTTGGAATACTTAAGGAACGTCCAGGAATGACCAAGGCCAAGACAGGGTGGAAGGAGCACTATTCTGATGGGTGGCATAGCAAACAGTCCCTGGGAGGCTTTGCCCAGGGGCTACTCCTTACACATATTCCACCATGCATTCTCTCGGAGATGTCAGCAGATGAGGGCTGGCAGTGGCACTGGTGAACGAACAAGCAGTAGAGAGACAGTCCTGGCTGAAAGGGAGCGTGACAAAGGGAAATAAGCAGAGAAGAGGAAGAAAAAGAGGCAGGAATAGAGAGAGGCTGAGCCATCAGTGGAGAGCTGGATGGGAGAAGAGGGGAGTGGAGGAGGGAGGGAGGCAGGAAGAGGGCGGGGGAGCAGTGGCTGGAACGAAGGAAGGCACCAGCATGGAGTGTGAAGGTCTGGGTTTAATCGTGGTTCTTTATGTTATTCACTACAGTTAAAGCATCTTATTCCCTTTCGGGGCTTCAGCGTCCTCATTTACAGAATGTAGAGACTGAACTCAGGGGTTCTCAGCTGAAATGGTGACGGCCAGTAACAGGGAATTCTGGGTTTCCAGACTTTAGAAGGTTGGCCTTTTAGGAAAACACATTTTTGTCCTTTAAAAATCCTGGCCTCGGGCCGGGCGCGGTGGCTCAAGCCTGTAATCCCAGCACTTTGGGAGGCCGAGGCAGGTGGATCACGAGGTCAAGAGATCGAGACCATCCTGGTCAACACGGTGAAACCCCGTCTCTACTAAAAATACAAAAAAGAAAAAAAATTAGCTGGGCATGGTGGCACGTGCCTGTAATCCCAGCTACTCAGGAGGCTGAAGCAGAAGAATTGCCTGAACCCAGGAGGCGGAGGTTGCGGTGAGCCGAGATCGCGCCATTGCACTCCAGTCTGGGTAACAAGAGCGAAACTCCGTCCCAAAAAAAAAAAAAAAATCCTGGCCTCTTGGGAAAATCAGACGATGTGGATACACTGGAAGAGTGGATACCCTAGGCAGGGGGATCTGGTGGTGGGAAGCACATAGAGAAAGCACTTTGTACAAAATATTACAAAATGTGGGCTGGCAAATGCCAACTCCTGCTAGGTAACATAATGGACATGTGTCCCTAAAAGGCAGTCATGGATCCTAAACAAAAGAGCTGTGAGGAGTGAGGGGCGCTCACGACTCTGACAGGCCTGGGTTTGAGTCCACCACTGATGAGCTGCTGACCCTGGGCCAGCTACTTAATCTCTCTGAGCCTGCGTTTTTTCACTTGTAAAGTGGGAGACAGTGATAACATGCACACTGCTTGTGCGTTTTGCACCTGGCCCATGAGGGCCCTCTACAGAGGCTAGGGGATAATATTACTGTCAGAGAAGAAAGCCAATGCTGTCTCCGTTGGGAACGTAAGAGTGCCAACAGCGAATCCTCCATGTGGGATGTTCACAGAGAATGTCTAAGATGCCGTGATGACCTGAGAAAGGGTTCCCTACCCGCCTCACCCTGGCACAGTTCTGTGGGCCCTTTGCCACCAGCATCTAAAGCAAACGGCAAGGATGTCTTTGTCAGAGCAGAGCGTCTAGAGTTTCTCCTTCCCAATCTCTGGCAGGGTTACTTTTCCTCTCACCTGCCTAGCTTGACTGTCCCATCCACAACCCCGGCACTCCAGCTACTGTTGGAGGAGGAAATATTGGGGAGCCGGCCACTCGAGTTGAGG